AACCTGAAGCTATCTTGGAACTGGATACGTTCTTCATCATACAAGCCAAGTAGAAGTCACACCACCAAAGCTGGGGTGTCCGAAACCACAAGCACAACCATCCGCGCACTGGCAATTACTAATGCCATCCACCGTCGTGTTGGTAGCACACGTTCGAACAGTGTTGACATCTGTAGCTATCCAGCACCCGTAAGGCCAAGGCAAAGAACTGAGGACGACACTACGGCTAAGGCAGTGCACGCACACAGACACTATATGTATAGCTCGTCAGCAAGCGAATGGAACCATAACCTGCAGCTATTGTCTCCGGCCACGAGGGCCTCAGACAGCCAAGGGAACAGTTACTTCATCATACAAGCCAAACTAAGTAACACCGCCAGGAATGCGGTGTCAGAATCAACAATCCCACAATCGAAAGCATCCGCGCACTGGCAGTTATCAATTCTCACCAACGACGTGCTGCTAGCACACGTCAGACAAAATGTTGATACCTGTAGCTATCCGGCGCCCGTAGGGCCAAGGCAAGGAGCTGACGACGACATTAGCTCGTCAGCAAGCGAATGGAACCACAACCTGCAGCTATCGTCTCCGGCCACGAGGGCCTCAGACAGCCAAGGGAACAGTTACTTCATCATACAAGCCAAGACAAATCACACCGCCAGAACTGCGATGTCCGAATCGACAGCCGCAAACATCCGCGCACTGGCTATTATCAATGTTCACCACCGACGTGCTGGTACCACGCGTCAGACAAAATGTTGATACCTGTAGCTATCCAGCGTCTGTGGAGCCAAGCCTGTGCCCGCATTAAAACGTTATGTTTCTGGTTCGTAAGCAAGCGAATGGAACCACAACGTGCAGCTACCGTCTCCGGCCACAAGGGCCTCATACAGCCAATGGAACAGTCACTTCATCATGCAAACCAAGTCACATCATCTGAACTGCGGTGCCCGAATCCACAACCACACTGTACCCTGTACTGCTGTGCAGAAGCTGTTTTGTCGGCGGTCCGGGGAAGCCTCCCAGCCAGTGGGCGACGACGGATCGCGTGCAATGTTCACTGCGCCCACACGCCGGAAGGAAAAAAAAAAATATGACACCCTTTTTGTTGATTCGCGGGTCGAGAGCGCACCTCTTCTAGTCGAAGCTAAGCGGGCCGCGCACAGTTTTACAAGGATATGACACACACACAGACAGACCCGAAGCGCACGGACACACAGGTAGTAAAACGGATTCGCGAGCAGGCGCGCGGGTTCACAGAGACTGCCAAGAGTCTGCCACGGAGGCATGCGTAGAGGCAGGTGCGGAGACGGGCAGACTGAGGCAGAGTCACACAGACACACACACACACACACACACACACACACACACACACACGCACAGTACAGACAAACAGAGACACACACAAATACACACACAAACACACACACGCACAGTACAGACAAACAGAGACACACACACACACACACACACGAGCAGCCCCATAAGCGTATTCGGACGAAGACAGATGGGGCTAGACTGACTCCATTGTCACAGACCCGACCCCCGTGAGACTGAAGAATAAACTCCCAAACTCAAAAAAAAAAAAAAACGTAGCGGTTGTGTTCAATCTGGCTCAGACCTCCAAATTGCACACCCAGCAACAAAAAAATAGCTACATCAAAAACTACCTAAATCTCCCCCCACGACAAAAACAAGACTATCTAAGTCTTACCCAATGCGGATCACCAGCGAAGTCACCGACCACGGTACATATCCCTGGATATTCTATCCAACACTGGATAATCAATCAAGAAATCTCTTGGATATGATTCCGCGTCGGTGGGAAATAAAATGGCATCTCCTAGAAACCTGCCAGGGGAACTCTCACCTATAGAAGTATTCCCCCCGAGGAAAAGAAACCTTCAGTCAACATCCACTCATGTCCAGGAAAAACTGCGCACATTCACCGCCCGTGGAATATACCAAATGATGTCTCCCAGTGAAGCTCCAACACTTACTCATGCCAACCCACATCTGCAACCCTAGAATGTCGAAGGTTAAAGCAAGGAAATATCAAAGGTTAGACCACATTCCCATTGAGGATGGAAACAAGAATCGAGACACTTATCGCTAACAGTCCTGAGGTCTTGTGGATTCGATTGGAGTCCTGCTGACTGGGTCTTGGACTAGGGAGGCTGCACCGAAGACTCCTGGGAAGAGTCTGGAGGTTCAAAGCATAGTTCGGAGATTCTTCCAAACGTTAACTCGGGGAAGGGGAGCGGAACGGGGGGGGGTCCCAGGGAAGCCTGGAAGGGCATCCCGGGGGGAGGGTCCCCAAAGGGGGAGTCCCGGGGGGGGGTCCCCGGGAAGAGGGGGGCCGGGAGAGGTCTTGGAGGTCGTGACCTCCCCCCCAGGACTGTTCCCCCGTGTCGACAAGGGGGACAAGGGAGCGGTTCCCTCGTGGACAAGGGACCCCTCTCCCGCATCGCCCATGTGGACAAGGTGACCGCCATCCCCTCCTCCTACCGACCCCCCCCCCCCTGGAGGCACTCTCCTCACTCTTATCTGCCGTTGCGGGGTGCTGCATGTTTGCCAACATGCTCCGAGGCGGCTCTAAGTGGCCATGGAGCTCCCCAAGAAGTCCCCCAAGAGGCCTCTCAACAGAGTCCAATAGGCTCCCAAGAGACCCAAGAAGGGCTCCAGAGCGTCAACGTCGTCGTCGTCGTGGCCGCCGCCGCTGCCGCCGTCGTCGTAGTCGTTCCCCTTCAGGGTCGGCGGCACCAGTCGTAAGGCCTTCCAAATAGATCGGAGATTCCCAGGGAGATGCCCCCCGGGTCCAGCCTGCTAAACCCAGCAATTCTAGAGGCAGGCAAGCAAGCAGGGAACAAGGCAACCAGACAGGCAGGCACGCAGGCATAGAAGCTGGGCGCACATCCACGCGATGCAGAGGAGCACCCGACTCGGGCGTGCACCGCCAGCAGAAGACCTGCAAGGCCCACGCACGCCAGAGGCACAACGACCGAGCCGAGAACACTCCGAGCACGGCGACCGAGCATGCAGAGAGATAGAGAGAATAGTCTTTGAAGTTTGGTATGCAGGCGAACTGGCAGGAAAATCAAGCCGACAATTTAGCGATAACTCCTCGCTGCCTTTTCCGGCATCGCCGTTATTATAATGTTATTCGGTATCTTTCCTCCATGCTTATGTTTCCTCATTCTCGCCATACCCTTCACATGCTCCCCATCCTCCTCAACTCTTTTTGCGGAGGCTCCTCCTTGGAGAGCCTCTGGGGGCCTCACAAAAGTTCTTCAGGCTTTCTGAAGGCCTTCTGGAGGCCTCCTGGGCGTGTTCTGGGGGCCTCTGGAGACTTCCTCGGGCCACCCTGCCTCCAACCGCGGTCTCCCTGAACGACCGGGTCACGATTTAGAATGCTTCGGGTGGTGTCTTGGGGCCATCTTGGGCCGCCATGGGGCTCTCTTAGGGCCATCTTGGACCCCTGTTGTGCCGTTTTGGGGCTCTCTTGAACTGCCTGGAAGCCCTTTCGGATGGTTACAGGGCGATTTGGGAGCCTCCCAGGCGGCTTCGGACGACCAGAAGACCGCTGTCTTGGAGCGTCAGGAAGCCGAAAAGAGGAGAACCCCAAAATTCACCTCTTGGGGCCTTCCTGGGGCCTTCCTGGGAGTGCTCTTGGAGGCCCCTTAGGACTATTTACTTTTTGGAGCGATCTTTTGGGGTATGACGGCTTCTTGGGGGGTCGTCCTGGACCGTATTGGGGCTCTCTGGGGTCGTTTCGGGAACCCGTCTGGGGCCGTTTTCGAGCTCTCGTGAGGTTCTCCTGGGTCGTCTGAAGGGTTGCCCGGAGGCCGGGGGAGGGCCAAATGCGTTAGGGGGGGGGGGGGGGGGGGGGGGGGGGGCGCTTTTCCGGCAACAGGAATATACTATATATTATGAATGTTCGGAGGACCGCGCTGATTTCTTGAATCGACGCTGGATCCCCCTCCCTGGTGGGCGGAGCGCGCCAGGGGCGGCGCCGGAGGCGCCATCAGAAAGGTTCCAGCGCCAACCCAAGAAATCCGCCAAGAGATCCAAAAGCGTATGTGTATTAAGGCAGTCAGGACAAGGACAAAAACGGACCCGACATCAAGGGGGATCTCTGAGATCCAACGGTTCTGGAAGATGCATCGGGCGCCGTCGCCGTTCGAGAGCGCTCCGGAACGCTCTGAAAGCTTTCTGGAACGCTCTAAAGAAACGTATCCCTGTCCTAGCCCCGCCCGGCGTATCCGTGTTTTCGTTCCTCGGGAGCAGCTCCGTCGTATGCAGCGCTAAGACCACAGAACGCCACATCTGCGGACCGCTGCGGCCTGCCTGCGCAGCTTCCCCGAGCACGGTGGCGGATGTGCGCGGCAGCGCGCAACTGAGTCCCTGTCCCAGCCCCGCCTGGTTTATGCGTGATTTCTTTCCTGGAGAGCCTCGAGGCCTCCTAAATGGGGTCCGAGTAGATGTGGTCAGAGGACCGCGCCGAATCACCGATGCATCGGCGATGCATCGCCGACGCATCGGCGACATCGGCGATGCCACGACGACGCCAGCGTGGAGTTCGGGCTACACATCGAGCCGCATCGGCAATGCATCGGCGATGTGGCGCGATCCTCCGACCCCGTCCACTCCGACCCCATCTAGGAGGCCTAGATCGGGCATTGGCGGAACTGGGTTTAGTGGGACCTGGTTTAGTGATGTGTACTGGGGGGCGCCCCCTGGGCCCCGCTGGGGGGCGCCCCCTGGGCCCCGTTCCACCAACCGGAACTGCCGCCACCCGAAAAACACCAGCCACGGCAGACCTGGTTTAGTGAGTCTGGTAAATTTAGGGGCTCCGAGGCCCTGCTACTAACCTGGTCCCCTTGCCTGGGGCCCTGGCTACACCCGACTAGAGATAGAGAGCCGGCGCCGACCCCTCGGCCGCGCGCGCTCGGCCGCCGCAAGCCGGCCCGGGCAAGGGGGGGGCAGTCCGAGGCGCCCGCCTCGCCGACATCTGGTCGATGCTGGTCGTGAGCTGCCGGGGCCGGCCGTGGGGTTTTTTGCACGAGGTCGGTCATGTCCCCCAACAGGGGGACGATTGGAAAATAGTCAAAAAATGTTCTGGGGACGATTTGTCGATTATTTTTGAGCATGTTTGGTGCATTTGTTGATTATGTTTGAGGGCTTTCGTGCAAAATCCGCCTGTAGGAGGACACGCCCGACCTAAGTTTCGCTCTCTCTGACCAGGCGCGTCCCCCTGCAGGCGGATTTGGAAAATAGTCAAACAAAAATCAAAAATGATCCAAGCCAGCCGAAAAGTTGTCCCCAGACGATGTTTACTCTTTCTTAAAAATCCGCAAAAATAACCATGCAACAAAAAATCTCAAAAGTGGTCCAAGCAAATCGAAAAATGGCCCCCAGACGACTTTTACTCTTTCTGAAAATTCCTCCTGCAAGAGGACACGCCCGACAGAAGTTCCGCTCTCTCTGACCGGGCGCGCGCGCGGGGGGGGCGCCTCGGAGGCGCGGGGGGCGCCGCCGAGCGCGGCCGCCCCTGGGGAGACAGGCCCAAGCGCGCTCGCCTCGTGGAAAGAACCACGGCGCGAGGTTCATCGATAGAAACAAGAACTCCTTTTTACATAAATTTTGCGACTGGAAACATTCATGTTTCACTCGTGCAAAAAGAGACAGAACTCTGGCTCTCCGCGCGGATGTCTTAGATGTGCGCTGGACCTCCCTCCCCGGCGCGCGGAGCGCGCCAGGGGCGGCGCCGGAGGCGCCGCAGGGGGGCGCCCAGAGCGAGTCCAAGAAATCCGCGCGGAGCGCCAAAAGTTTATATGCTCGCGGCGCGCTTTCTTCTTCGATTCACGGCCGCGTTCGGCCTCCGGGGGCCCTCGCCGGGCCACCGGGCCGTCAAAAAGGCAGCTCGGGTATTCGAAGGCGGCCCCGGGGAAGGGGTCGGGGCTGCCCCAGGGGACCGCGCCTGGGAGAAGTCGGGGCAGCGGATTCCCGGGGAAGCCTCGCCCAGGGCTGGTCGGAGCAGCAGGAGGGCGACGAGGGCGGGGACGAGGAGGGGGCGAGGAGGACGAGGACAGTGTGTGGAGGAAATCGGGGATGAGCAGGAGGAGGAGGAGGACGAGGATGCAGCTGATGCGGCGCGAACGGAGACAACAGCAGGCGGAGCGCACCACAGGAGAAGAGGCTAGAGTTCGGTCGGGCATGTCCTCCTTCAGGCGGATTGTGAAGGAAAGATGAAACACATTCTAATAATACCCCGAAATACTCACAAATAGTCCAAAACTAGTCCCCAGACTATTGTTCTACTATTTTGGAATGCTCCTCCTGTGGAGGGACATGCCCGACTGAAGGCTGGAGGGATGAGGCCGAGGAGCAGAAGCAGCAGCAGCCGCAGCAGCAGCACGGGGCAGCGGCAGCGGACGGGGCGAGGGGGGGGGTGGCCGGCGGCGCTCTCGCCGCAGGAGCAGAGGGCCGCCGGAGAGGAGGGCCGCGGGCCGGAGCGGCCGGCCGTGGCAGCGGTGACCGTGGCAGCAGCCGGGCCAGGGCGAAGGCGCACCCACTGTGACAAAAACACGCGGATGTTGGAGAGGAGCCACCCCAAAACGGCGAGCGAGGAACGCAGAGATCTTTGTTGTGGCCTAGTTGAAGTCTCGTTTCCCTACTAAAGCGTCCACCCAAACATCACACACACACACACACACACAAAAAAAAACATACTGAGATTCACACTTTCTCATTGTTCGGACCAAAATCCGCTCTGCGCAGTTGGCGCCAAGACGAATCCGAGATCTCCGAAATCTCGCGGTCCTGGAAGATGCATCGGGCGCCGCGGCCGTTCCACAGCGACTCGGCACGCTTTGCGAGCGCCCCTGAGCGAGGCGACTTCTCTGGGGGGCACGCTTTGCGAGCGCCCCTGAGCGAAGTGACTTACCCTATCCCCGGGCCCCCGCCCGATCGGTGCAGGCCCGAGATCGGGAACGAGACCGCGCCCGGCTGCTCCCTGCGGGGCGGACCTGGGGCGCCCGAGGCGAGGCAGACTTGCTGGTTGTTGGAAACGTCAGTTTTTGCCACTGTTTCCCAACACCCTGGATCTTGACAACTCAAACGGTTTTTTTTTTTCCACAAATGTAAGATAATAAAACAAATAGATAAACGACTCCCAGATTGAAGCCAGAGCCGAAGGTGGAGAACAAACGGCGGCGGAGCCTGAAAAAAAATGCGTCGAAACTGGAAAAACGCACCACGAAAACGGAGAAAACTGTCCGATCGTTTGCAAGAGCCACAAAGGGAGGCAACTATCTGGAAAGTCTTTTTGAAGCCTTTTAAATGGGGTCCGAGAAGATGGGGTCGGAGGATCGCGCCGCATCTCCAATGCATCGCCGATGCGTCGGCGATGCTTCGGCGATGCATCTGCGACGTCGGCAACGCACCGGCGCCGTGGGAGTGGAGAAAATCCGGCTCCACATTGAGCCGCATCGCCGATGTATCGGCGATCCGGCGCTGTCCTCCGACCCCATCTGTTCGGGCCCTGTCTGGAAGGGCTGGATCATCGGGAGGAGCGATCAGGCACCAAAAAAGCCAGGCTCGAGCAGGGCGAAAGGGGGGGATAGCAAAGGGGGGGTTTGAGAATCAGCTCACGTAGCTGATTTTCCTGGCGCCTCCCGGCGCTGGGAGGCGGCCATGTATCGAGGAATGGGCCCGGCGGCGGGGCCGAATCCAGCTGCATGCAGCAGATTTCGTAATCCCCCCTTTCCCTATCCCCCCCTTTCGTTCGGCCCGACAGGCTAAGGCGACACGGAAGCAGGTCCAGGCCAGATTGGGCCCAGGATCAAGCCGGATGAAGCGGGGGCACGCTGGATCGAGCCCGCGCAGGCTGGATTCGACTAGAGGACCCATCAGCGCCGACGCTGAATCCAACCTCCCAAGAGTAGAAACCTGATACAGGCATGCGCTCCAAACCAAGAGAGAAAAAGGCTCTTTGGCTGAGCTTGCCGTGCCTGGCAGCCTGCCTTATCACGCCTCTTGCCCTCGCCGAAGCGGGCGCCCCTGGATCTCCCGTCGCGCGGCACAACAGAGCAGACCCTCAACCGACGCCGCTCGCAGGAATAGCCAGCAGGCCCCTCCCTCTCTCGATCCAAGGTCTCAATTCGGGGTCTCACTCAAAGTCGGCGTCATCGTCCGGCTCCTCCTCCTCCTCCTCCTCCTCCTCCTCTTCTTCTTCTTCTTCTTCTTCTTATTATTATTATTATTCTTCTTCTTCTTCTTATTATTATTATTCTTAGTATTCTTCTTATTCGTCTTCTTATTATTATTCTTATTCTTATTATTATTCGTATTCTTCTTCTTCTTATTATTATTCTTCTTATTATTATTCTTATTATTATTATTCTTATTATTATTCTTCTTCTTCTTCTTCTTTTTCTTATTCTTATTATTCTTCTTATTATTATTATTATTCTTATTATTCTTCGTATTATTCTTCATATTCTTATTATTATTATGCTTCTTATTATTCTTCTTATGCTTCTTCTGCTTCTTCTGCTTCTTCTGCTTATTCTGCTTATTCTTCTTATTATTATTATTCGTCTTCTTCGTCTTCTTCGTCTTCTTCGTCTTCTTCGTCTTCTTCGTCTTATTCGTCTTCGTCTTCTTCTTCTTCTTCTTCTTCTTCTTATTCTTCTTATTATTGTTCGTATTATTCTTCGTCTTCTTCGTCTTCGTATTCTTCGTCGTCTTCTTCTTATTATTCGTCTTCTTCTTCTTCGTCTTCGTCTTCTTCTTCTTATTATTATTCTTCTTATTCTTCTTCTTATTATTCTTATTATTATTATTCTTATTATTCTTATTATTCTTATTATTATTATTATTATTATTATTCGTCTTCTTCTTCTTCTTCTTCTTCTTCTTCCTCCTCCTCCTCCTCCTCCTCCTCCTCCTCCTCCTCCTCCTCCTCCTCCTCCTCCTCATCCTCATCCTCATCCTCCTCCTCCTCCTCCTCCTCCTCCTCCTCCTCCTCCTCCTCCCTCCTCCTCCTCCTCCTCCTCCTCCTCCTTCCTCCTCCTCCTCCTCCGCCTCCGCCGCCGCGCCGCCGCCGCCGCCGCCTCCGCCGCCGCCGCCCGCCTCCTCCTCCTCCTCCTCCTCCTCCTCCTCCTCCTCCTCCTCCTCCTCCTCCTCGCCTCCTCCTCCTCCTCCTCCGCCTCCTCCTCCTCCTCCTCCTCCTCCTCCTCCTCCTCCTCCTCCTCCTCCTCCTCCTCCTCCTCCTCCTCCTCCTCCTCCTCCCTCCTCCTCCTCCTCCGCCTCCTCCTCTCCGCCTCCCGCCTCCGCTCCGCCTCCGCCTCCGCCTCCGCCTCCTCCTCCGCCTCCTCCTCCTCCTCCTCCTCCTCCCTCCTCCTCCTCCTCCTCCGCCTCCTCCGCCTCCTCCTCCTCTCCTCCTCCTCCTCCTCCTCCTCCTCCTCCTCCTCCTCCTCCTCCCGCATCTTCTCCGTTCGTTTTCGTCCCCGTCGTCCTCCTCGTCGTCGCCCTCCTCCTCCTCCTCCTCCTCCTCCTCCTCTCCTCCTCCTCCTCCTCCTCCTCCTCTTCCTCCTCATCCTCGTACTCCTCTTCCTCATCATCAGAAGCAGCAGCAGCATCATCATCATCATCAGCATCATCATCATCATCATCATCATCATCATCATCACATCATCAGCAGCAGCATAATCATCACATCATCATCATCAGCATCATCATCATCTCATCATCATCATCATCATCTCATCATCATCATCATCATCATCATCATCATCATCATCATATCATCATCATCATCATCATCATCAGCATCATCATCATCATCATCATCATCATCATCATCATCATCATCATCATCATCATCATCATCGTCATCGTCATCGTCGTCGTCGTCGTCGTCGTTGTCGTCATCGTCGTCGTGTCGTCGTCGTCACCCTGCTCATCCTCCTCCTGCTCGCCATCATCACCACCACCATCATCATCATCATCATCAGCATCATCATCATC